TGAGCGGAGGCAGCGCGGCGAGCGCATGGGGCGCCCCCTCCGGCCCGGCCGCGCGGCTCGCTGTGGAGCCTCGCCCCGGGGCCATGCCGGTCATGAAGGGCTTGCTGGCCCCGCAGAACACCTTCCTGGACACCATCGCCACCCGCTTTGACGGCACGCGTAAGTGGGGAGGGCCGGGCCGCGCGAGGGCGGCTCAAGGGCTAGGGGTCCTGCGGCCGCTGTGGACCCGAACCCCCCGTCGAGTGGGCTGAGCCCAGCGCGAGTAGGACGGCAGGGGGTGTGACCCGCTTAGGGTTCGGAGGCCGGGGGCGGGACGAAGTGGTGGGGCGCTCTGGGGGCCACTCCAAGAGTCCTGCCTTCTGGAAAAAGAAACAGATCGGACCGCGGCAGGTTCCAACCTGGATTAGGGCCACGCATCCCCAAATAGTGGCGCGCCCGTGACCCAGGAGGGGAGGGTATGTGCTGTCCCGGAGATGGGGGGACCCCCTCTCGCCCACCGGAGCGCACGTCTCGATCAGCACCTTGGACAGCCGCGCCGCTCCTTCCTGCTCCTCCCGCCATCCCCTCCCTGCCAGCCCCGCGCTCCAGCGCTCCCCTGCCCTCTCGGGAACCCTCACGGGGCTCAGGAGGGGGAGCGGCACCCGAGGGCGGAAACAAGCCGCCAGTGCCCTCTCCGCCTCCCCCTTCCCCACACACCTCCCTGTTTCCATAGCGCCCATCTCCGAGGCAACAGGCCCTGGGATGGAAGAAGGAGCTGGCACCCAGGGCCCAAGGCCTCCTAGGCACCCTGTGGCCCCATCAGCCACCCCACAGCCCTGACTGTCGCCTTCCCTAAGCCCCAGCGCAGGTCTGTCTTGGGCCCCATCTCTCAACTAAGACTGTCCCCAAATAACCCACAAACTCCCTCCACTTGGGCCCAGGAAGCCAGCCCAGTTCTGCTGCTGGGGTTGCTGGTGCCCACCCTCACTGCCCTACCCAGCCTGATGTCCAGCCCTGGGACCAGATGATCCCTGAGAACAGCTAGAGGAATGTTAAAAGGGGGACCTTTCCTGGAAGACAGGCGTGAGGATCCTGCTCAGCCGTCTTTCCCCCACGCTAAGGAAATTTGTGAGTTTGGAAAATAAAAGGATGTGAAGCCATCAGAATCTTTGCCCTGGTCCCTGCCATAGGACAATGGCTATGCACATGGCCCCAAAGCTGAGAGAAGGGGGGTCTTTCTACCTGTTTGGAGCGGCTCTCACTAAGGACTTGCTCTCCCAAGGGAACGATGCAGCCCTCACAACCATGCAGGTTGTGTCCCACTTGCCAGTAAGGAACTGAGGTCCTGAACTTGCCCAGCATCCCAGCCCGTAATCGATTAGCAGGCTCCAGGGCTCTCCCTCGCTGTGCTGTGCGCCTGGAGCTTGATGGCGGGGTGGCCTGCGTGGCCTCGTAGGGCTCCCCCTCCAACACCTCAGTCGTCCAGCCTTAGCTGTAGGCCACCCTTGGGTTCTTGTCCCTTTGCTCTCTCTTATCCTTATTGAATATGTCGTTAGGGCAGGCTGCTGGCTCTGTGATACGACCCCAGGAGCGTGCTCCTCTCCTAGACCAGCTCTGAGCCTGACCTCTGCCCCCACAGACAGCAACTTCCTGCTGGCCAATGCACAAGGCCCTCGGGGCTTCCCTGTCGTGTATTGCTCCGACGGCTTCTGCGAGCTCACTGGTTACGGCCGCACTGAGGTCATGCAGAAAACCTGTAGCTGCCGCTTCCTCTATGGCCCGGAGACCAGTGAGCCGGCACTGCAGCGGCTGCACAAAGCCCTGGAGGGCCACCAGGAGCACCGGACTGAGATCTGCTTCTACCGCAAGGACGGTGAGCAGCAAGTTCATCGCTGACTCTGGGTCTTGAGGAGAGCCGTGTGCGTGGAGGGTACAGCTCACTCGCTCCGTCTTCCCCATGCCACAGGCTCAGCCTTTTGGTGCCTCCTGGACATGATGCCGATCAAGAATGAGATGGGTGAGGTCGTGCTGCTCCTCTTCTCCTTCAAGGACATCACTCAGAGTGGAGGCCCTGGGCTTGGCCCCCCGGGTGTCCATGGGGACAGTAGCCATGGTAACTGCCAGTTGTGGGAGGCAGGAAGGGCTGGAAGTCCTTGACCAGCGTCACCAGAGACCCACCTGGCCCCAGGGGGCCCTTATACCCATCCTTCCTCCCACAGAAAATTCCCTTAGTAGGAGGGGCGCCAGCTCCAGGCTTCGGTCCTCCAAAAGGCAAAGCCGCACCGTCCTACACCGACTGACCGGTCACTTCCGTCGTCGGGGCCAGGGAGGCATGAAGACCAACAACGTAAGTTCCCTGCTGTCTGCCCTGGCTGCCGGCTGCCTCCTTGGTTCCTGCTGTCCTGTCTCCATCATGGCCTTGTGCCTCTGCCAGCCCACTTCTGAGGGCCACTCTGCTCCATGCATGCTGCACACGGCCTCTGTCGCCATCTCCCTTGCTTCCTTAGTTAACCAACTGCTCCCTTGTGACGCGACACCACTGGGGTGCTAGCAGCACCCATATCACCTACCCTTGACCGAGAGAGGGGTCGTGTCCTGGGGTGGGAATTCAAATCCCAAGTGGCTTTGGCCCTGGAGAGGAAGCCCACCCTTGGACCTGGCATCTCATCCTGTGTGTCACCTTGGAGGAGCCTGACCGAGCCAGGGGAGACCCTTTGTGGGGTCTGCTAGGCCACAGAGAAGGGTGTGCTGCATTGGCTCCCTGTTCCCCAACATACCCCACCCCTCTCTAGGCCCCCAAAGTCCAGGGGAGCTTGAGGGAGAAGCCAGGGACCCCTCCAGGTAGGGAATCTGCCTGCTCTGTCAGACTCTCCCTGCCCACGTGGGGCTCAGTCCTGAGGCCACCATGAATCGTGGCTGCACGGAGAGGGCCGAACAGAGGGGAGGAGGTGCCCAGTGTCAGTTTCCGGTCTCCTCTCAAGCCACCCTGGAAGTGCTTGCCTCTCGCCTCTCCCCAACACCCCTTCCTCTGTCTTTCCCCCAAATGTCCCCAACCGCCACCCCTCTCCATTTAGAACGTGTTTGAACCAAAGCCATCAGTGCCCGAATACAAGGTGGCCTCCGTTGAGGGGTCCCGCTGCCTCCTCCTCCACTACAGCGTCCCCAAGGCTGTCTGGGATGGCCTCATCCTCCTTGCCACCCTCTACGTCGCAGTCACCGTCCCCTACAATGTCTGCTTCTCGGGTGATGACGATACCCCCGTCGCGTCCCGGCACACGCTTGTCAGTGACATCGTGGTGGAGATGCTTTTCATCTTAGGTCAGAACCTCCAGCTCGCAGAGCACAGACTGCCCAGTGGGTGGGCCTTGGGAACCCCCGGCCACACCTGCCTCCTCCCCTCACCCCAACCAGGCTCCCTGCAGCCCCAGCCCCTTGGCCCATGTCCCCTTTTGGGGCCACCCCACTCGCTCAGGTGCCAGCCACGCACCCTAGGAATGGCCTCTCGCACCCCAGACATCATCCTGAACTTCCGCACCACCTACGTGTCCCAGTCCGGTCAGGTGGTCTCGGCCCCTCGCTCCATCGGCCTGCACTACCTGGCCACCTGGTTCTTTGTGGATCTCATCGCCGCGCTGCCTTTTGATCTGCTCTATGTCTTCAACGTCACCGTGGTGAGTGACCTCATCCACAGGTCTCCGCATCTCCTGACAGGGCCCTGGCTGGGTGGGCGCTGCTCAGCCAGCTCCTTGAGTTGAGGGAAGCCGAGCCGAATGAAAGCTAACTCTGGCTCCTGGGGCGGCCCTGGGCGGCTGCCAGATGAGCGGTGCTTTTCACATTTCTATTTAGCAAACAAATGATGAGCACTTAGCCATCCATCGGGCCTATGTGGGCATGGTCGCTGTGAGAGGGAGGCAGGAGGACTCTCCGAGCCCTTCCGCAGGTGAAGGACCCTAGCACAGAGGTGCACGGAGTGTCAGCTGGGGCCAAGGTTCGTGGCATGAGCCTGAGTGAGCCTTGGAGGTGACTGGCAAAAGCGACAGGGCAGGAACCTGGGGGGCTAGAGCAGCCTGGTGTGCAGGGGTGCAGTGGCGGCCTGGGTGGGAGGCGCAGGGCTGGGGCTGCAGTTGCAGGGCTTCAGCAGGCAGGAGTGAGGGGCCGTGGGGCAGCCCAGGGAGCTAGGCATGGAAGACAGAGTATGTGCGGATTTGCAAGGAGGGGAGCAGAACCTGGCCCTAACCCAGGCCGCCTGGCACCGCCCCTCTCGGCCTCACCTGTGTCCCCAGGCCCCCTCGGCTGCTGGGAGAGGCGGGGAGCAGTTTCCCCGTGCCTCCCCCTGCACTGGGCTATAGCAGGAAACCACCTACACGCAGCCCGATTTAACTAGCCGCCAACGGCTGTGGGCCTCCTCTCCTGGCTGTGCACACATGTGTGCACGCTTTTGCACACGTGTGCATGTATGGGGCTGCCCGGCGACCCCCCAGGTGCCCACCATCCCTGGGGACCCCCATGCAGCATCTGTCTAATGCCACCATCCCCGCCCTCCTCACAGGCAGCACCTGCATCACTGGCCCTGGGGATGCACCGTGGTATGGGACCCTCCGCCCTTCCCCACTTTCTTCAGGAAAGTCTCAGGTTCTCTGCTTCAGAGTCAACACAGAGGCTCAGAGAGGCAAAGCAGGGTGCCAGAGATCACATGGTCACAAGGGCTAGCAGACTGGAGTCAGGTCCAGTCTGGGGCCCTGACAGTGTAGACTCCTAGGAGCTGGGCCAGTGTAGACTCCAAGGAGCTGGGCCAGACCTTACAGCCCGAGAAGAGTGACAGGAGTGTTATGAAGCTGTGGGACATGGGGGCAGGGTGCTGAGGACACTCTGCAGGGCTTGGGTTTGGAGCCAGCCAGGTGACCTGGGGGCCAAGGCAGGCACAGGTCATGAGGGGAAGCAAGGACACCTCCTGACTAGTTTTCACCCAAAATGTGAGGATTGAGGTCAGGAGCAGCATGGGCTCAGGACCTGGGGGAGCTCCCACTTGCTCTCCTCCTCAGACCAGAAGGGCTAACTGAAGCATGACCATAGAGCTAGGCATGGTGGTACTCGTGAGTCATCCCAACACTTGGGAGGCTGAGGCAGGAGGACTGCTGAGATCAAGGCCAGCCTGGGCTCCATAGAGAGGCCCTATCTCAAACAATAACAACAAATAATAATAATCACAATGAAAGTAGCAGCCTCTGAACTGGGGATGTAAACCGGCATTAAAAGCCTTTCCTAGCACGCTTCGCAGTTGCAGTGCTATTAGCCAGTGTTGCCCAGCCCTGAAACAGGCCGAGTCAAGAGCGCCCCAAGTTCCAGGCGTAGCCGAGCAAGGCCTTAGCAAGCTCCTGGTTCCAGGAATGAAAAGCGCTGGAGGTGGAGCTCAGTGACGGAGCACTGCTGGGTCGTCTCCTCAGAGCAGCACCCCAAAGCGCTCACCTGTGACCCTTGGGCGAGTTACAGTGCCTACCCAAAGGCCTGCTGGCACCCCTGCAGCCCTCGCACCACCTCCCGCTGTTGTGGCCCACACAGGAAGGGTCCCCGCCGCCGTGCTTCCCACAGCTCTTGCCTTCGCCTCCCCTTCCTGCCTCCCTCCCCGCTCCGGCTACTGCACTGTCCCGAAGGGCCATGAGGCAGGGCACCCCGAAGGGGCTGCGGCTGTGACCGACCCCCGGCCTGTCCTCAGCCACCCACTGGAGCACAGCTGAAAGTCTTCCCAAGGATCAGGGATGCTGCGTGAGCGCTGCTCCCCCTGTCCCCCCCCCCCCCAGGTTCCCAGGACGGCAGGGAGTTTCTCCCCGCCTGGGCTCCAGGCTGTGTGCCCAGGTGCTTGCGTGCTGACTCCTCTCCTCCTTTTGCAGACCTCGCTCGTGCACCTCCTGAAGACCGTGCGGCTGCTGCGGCTCCTGCGGCTGCTGCAGAAACTGGAGCGGTACTCGCAGTGCAGCGCAGTGGTGCTCACGCTGCTCATGTCGGCGTTTGCGCTCCTGGCCCACTGGATGGCTTGCGTCTGGTATGTCATCGGACGCCGGGAGATGGAGGCCAACGACCCCCTGCTCTGGGACATTGGTGAGCCACCGACCCCACTCTTGCTCCTCAGCCCACTTCTCCCCTGGAATCCTCAGGTCCCACCCACATGCCCCGTGAATCCCCCAAACCTGCTCGAGCTCTTTGGGGATCGAGTGGGAGTGTACTGGCCTGGGTGAACCTGGAAGCCTAAAACACAGCTCTAAAAGACTTCACTGAAATAATTATGAAAATCTAAACCAGGGTGGTGGCACACACCTGTCATCCCAGCACTCTGGGAGGCTGACGCAGGAGGATCACTTGGATTTGAGGCCAGCCTGGGCGACACAGGAAGACCCTGTTTTAAAAATAAATAAGTTCCGGAAGCCAGTCAAATAGCTCAGTGGACCAAAGCACCTTCTGGGCCAGGCCCGTCCCCATGGCACCCTGAGATGGTGATTGAGATTAGGGGTGGTGGTGTGCACCTGTAATCCCAGTGCTTGGGAAGCTGAAAACAGGAGGATTGCTATGAGTGCAATCTGTAGTGAGACCTTGTACTAAATATATAAAGAGAAAAAATAAATAAACAAATTCCAAAACAGAAAATAGAAAAAAAAAAAAAAAAAAAAAGAGGGCTGGGGATGTAGCTCAGTAGCACACTGCCTGCCTGGCAAGTGCCAGGCCCTAGCTGGATTACAGGTACCAAAAAATGAAAATTGTTTAAAAAAGAAAAGATAATATATTAATTAGTTAAAAAAGAAAATGCCGGGGCTGAGGCTCCGTGGGTTCACTCTTGGCTACCGCGGCATGCTAGGCTCAGCATACACCCCAGCAGCCCGGCTGCCTCTGTGCCCCGGCCCCCCTCCGCCAGGCTTCTCACGCAGGCCCTGACCCGCTTTGGGCCCTGGACTCGCCCTCTTCCTCTCGCATCTTTCCCAGCTGACCTCTAGCCTCAGCCAACCCCTGCCCTGCCCTGGGGGCCCCTCTGGCCTGCGCTGCCACCTGGGTTGGATGTGCCTCACGGCAAGTGCAGGATCCCCGTGTTTCGAGACCTCACGTCCCCTGATGCCGCTCGGCAGAGGCCTGGGGGAGCCCTCACCCTGTGGCAGCAGGCGCAGGACAGGGCCGCCGAAGGTGCCTGGGGGAGGCCCTCCGGCCCTCCTCACCGCGCCGCGCTGCCCCCAGGCTGGCTGCAGGAGCTGGGCCGGCGGCTGGACGCGCCCTACGTGAACGGCTCGGCGGGGCCGTCGCGGCGCAGCGCCTACATCGCCGCGCTCTACTTCACGCTCAGCAGCCTCACCAGCGTGGGCTTTGGCAACGTGTGCGCCAACACCGACGCCGAGAAGGTCTTCTCCATCTGCACCATGCTCATCGGCGGTGAGCCGGGCCACGCGCTGGGACGCGGATGCTCGGGAGGGCGAGGCACCCGCGGGTGCGGGCAGAGCGCGGGGTGTCCCGAGCCCGGACCCCCGTGACGCCCCGCCCGCCTGTCACCAGCGCTGATGCACGCCGTGGTCTTCGGCAATGTCACGGCCATCATCCAGCGCCTGTACGCGCGCCGCTCGCTTTACCACCGCCGCGTGAAGGACCTGGAGGACTTCGTGCGCGTGCACCGCCTGCCGAGGCCGCTCAAGCAGCGCGTGCTCGAGTACTTCCAGACCACGTGGGCCGCCACGTGCGGCATCGACGCCAACGAGGTGGGCGGGCGGGCTGGTGGGGCAGGCTGGGATCGCCGCCATGAGGGTGGGCCTGGGGTAAGGGGTTGGGGGTGTGTGTGAGTGTCTAGCACGCAGGGCCCAGGCAGGCAGGACGCACCCAGCCACCTGAACCCAAATCCCTTTTGGCAGAACTGGGGATTGAACTCAGGGCCTTGCACTTGCCAGGCAAGTGCTTATTCTGCTGAGCCATCTCCCCAAATCCCTTTTTCTTTGCATTTGATCTCGGGAGCAAGAAGGGAGCTCAGGCCTGCACCCTGCCACTTTGTAGATCAATGTGTCCAGAGGGGTTGACACTTGCTTGTCATCACAGCACTCTGGAGGCTGAGGCAGGAGGATCACTGGGAGTCCTAAGGTCAGCCTGAGCTACACAGTGAGTTCAAGGCTGGCTTGGGCTACATAGTGGAACTGTCTAAGAAAGAAAGAGAGATCCAGTGGTAGGAACACAGGTCCAGCAGGGCTAGTAGCAGATCTAGAGCCAAGTGAGTTCAGGGACTGAGCAGCTGGGGGCAGGGGTTGAGGAGGAGGCAGTGGGTGGGCTGCCGGACAGCCCTGAGTTTAGATTCCATCCTGCCCAACCTCAGGCCTGGAGGGCAGCTCGGGGGTGGAGGGAATGAATTGTGGGGCTCTCCAGGGCAGGACTGCTGGGCCTGCTCTCCAGCCAAGGGCAGGAAAGACCCTGGGGACCCAGCATTAGGCTGGGGCAACATGGAGAAGTGGAGGCACCACAGTGAGGGTGGGGCTTAGGCGTACTTGAGGCCCACAGCGGGCATGAGGAGGGTTGGGGGGGCGTCCGAGGATCCCCAGCGGCACAGAAGCCAGGGCTGGCACCCAGGCAGGAAGGCAGGCAGGAGGCAGGAAGTGTGTGGGGGTGTCCAAGTGAGGAGGGGTGGGAGGAGACCCAGGGCGGTGAGTGGGTGAGTGAGTGGAGATGAAGATGTGGGCAGGTACTTGGTCCTGGGAAGTCCTCAACCCTGGGGTCACTGAGGCCTTGCGAGGGGCAGTGGCGTGCCTGGGGTCCATGAGGACCTAGGGACAATGCTGCCCTCAGGCCGCCTCCCACCTCCTGGTTAAAGGCAGATCCACAGCCAGGGCTCTGGGCTGTAGGACGTGTGTGGGTGACCAGGGGAGAGCCCTGTGTGGTGGGCTGGGAGGGGGCCCGGTCTGTGCTGCCGAAGTGAGGCTAGGATCCAGGCACAGCCAGTGAGCTCGGGGTCAGGAAAGCAGGCGGCTTCCTGGAGGCTGGCAGCAGGCACCTTCCCCACATGCGGGCAGCACATGTGCAGGCAGGTGTATTGGCTGGGGCGGCTGGAATGACCTCTGCCCCTTATGCAGTTACTGCGTGACTTCCCAGACGAGCTCAGAGCCGACGTCGCCCTGCACCTGAACCGGGAGATCCTGCAGCTGCCGCTGTTTGGGGCAGCAAGCCGGGGCTGCCTGCGGGCGCTATCCCTCCACATCAAGACCTCCTTCTGCGCCCCGGGCGAGTACCTGCTGCGCCGCGGGGATGCCCTTCAGGCCCACTACTACGTGTGCTCCGGCTCCCTGGAAGTGCTCCGGGACAGCACGGTGCTGGCCATCCTGGGTGAGCGTGGGCCACTGCTACTGCCTGGAGCTGACCCTAGGAACCTGAGGAGTACCCCAGTCCTCTCCCTAATTCCTTCCACCACTCTCAACCCATCTGGCCTTCCCTCGAGACCTTCCGCTAGTCTACTGCACTGTTCCCACAGGCCCAGCTCCACTGACCATGTCCTGATTAACCTCACCGCTGCTGGCCCTTACCCTTTAACTGGCCACTCCATGGAGGACCACCCAGCTCCATCGGTCACTTCCAGCCCTCCTCCCACGCCCACTTGCTGTCTCCTCATCCTCCACTGACCTTTTTCGGATTCCCTTGATCTCAGCTGAGCCCTTGATCCATTGTCTACCACCATCTTTCGACATACCAATTACTCCCCATCATCGCTCCACCCATCCTAGCCATCCGTCTACCACAGCTGATCTGACATCCCTCCCGCAGGCAAGGGGGACCTGATTGGGGCAGACATCCCCGAGCCAGGGCCAGATCCCAGGCCAGGGGCAGGCCCAAGCTCCGTGCTGAAGACCAGCGCCGATGTGAGAGCCCTGACCTACTGCGGCCTACAGCAGCTAAGCAGCCGGGGACTAGCTGAGGTCCTGCGGCTGTACCCCGAGTATGGGACTGCCTTCCGGGCGGGCCTGCCCCGGGACCTCACCTTCAACCTGCGCCAGGGGAGTGACACCAGTGTATGTCAACCTCGAAGTCCCTCACTCTAAAGCTGGCCCCAGCCCCAGAGAGCCCAGGTCTTAGCTCCCATCTCCTCCTGTCCATGTCCTGTGACACTCTGGACCTCACACACCATCCTTGACACCTGGATCCCTTAGGGCAGAGTTGGGGATGTCTGGCTCAGTTCCACACAAGGGGCCTGTGCTCTCCATTCTCCACATGGGGCCCTGTGGGGTGGGACCAGGAGGCTGCCAGCAGTCTTGGGTCTGAACTTCCCTCCCCACAGGGCCTCAGCCGCAGTGGCCGATCTCCCCGCCTCTCCCAGGTAACCTACCTTCCGGGGTGAGTGGGTGGGTGTGGCAGCGGTGTGGGGGGAGCAGCTCAGAGGGAGGGGATGGAAGGGAAAGGCCTGCTGTTCTGGCCCCACCGCTGCTGTCCCTGCACAGCCCCGCTCCGACAGCCTCGGCTCCTTCTCAGACAAGACCCTGCCATCCATCACGGAGACCGAGCCTGGCCCAGTGCCCGGGGCAGGTCCCAGGCCCCTCCGGCCCCTCCTGCTGCCCAGCCTCAGTCCTGCCCGGCCTCAGGGTTCCCTCGCCAGCCTCTTGGGCGAGGAGCTGCCCCCGTTCTCCGCCTCTGCCTCCTCCCCCTCTTTGTCCCCCTCCCCCCACGGCCTCCCTAGAGGTTCAGCTGCCTGGAAGCCCCCCCAGCTTCTTATTCCTCCACTGGGAACCTGTGGACCTCCAGACCTCAGTCCCCGGTGAGACGCCAGCCTCCTCTGCCTTTCTCGTATCCCCTCTGGTTTCCACAACCTTCCCAGGCTGTCCCTTCATGCCTACCTCAGCCGCCCTGCCCCCACCACCCGCAACCCATCCCTGCCCACTGCTGGTCCCTGCCCTGTGGCTGAGGCCCACGCATCCTCTGCCCACACGTGCTGACGGGCACTGCCCCATCCACAGGGTAGTAGATGGCATTGAGGACTCAGGCAGCACAGCTGAGGCCCCCACGTTCCGGTTCAGCAGGAGGCCTGAGCCCCCAAGGCTCCGCTTGCAGTCCCCCCCTGCAGGTAAGGGCCAGCGGCAATGTGAGCTGCAACCACTGCACTTCGCTTCGCCCTCACCTCACCCACCCACCCGCTGATCGCTGCTTCCACCACCTAACATCCACCCTTCTATCCACCCACCCATCCTCCATCCTTCTAGCTACCATCCGTCCCTGCACCCACCCCCAACACCCGCCCATCCATCATTAGGGCCTGCCAATGCCAGGCACCATGCTGGGAAACCAGACCTGGCCCACTCTTGGGGAGATCCCTTCCTAGTGCTGGAGACAATTCTGCATCCAGATAAGTGGTTCTAGAATCGGGTACAAACTCCAACAACAACAGGACTATGCTAGGCGGAAACACATGAGTTTCTTTCTTTCGTATTTAGTACTCACTACACAGATCCGACTCGTAGTGATTCTCCTGTTTTCAGCCTCTCAAGCGCTGGGAAGTTGCTTCTTAAAGCGGGGCCTGGTCCCTAGCTGGGCCTGGGGGTGCACGTCTGTAATCACAGCACTCTGTGGAAGGCAGAAGGCTGAGGCAAAAGGATTGCAACTTTGAACTCCACGTGGGGAATTTAGTGAGAACTTGTCTCAAAATAAAACATTAAAGGTCTGGAGATGTACTTCAGTGTTCAATCCCCAGGACCAAGAAAAAGAAAGGAGAAAGCAATCGTGCCTTCAGCTGTGGAGCAAGGCAGTCGGGGAAGGCACTGCGGCTGGCCCTGTGACAGAGGGGTCGCCTGGCTGTGGGCTCAGATGTCCCTGCCCCGGACTCACCCTCACCCTTCTCCCGCAGGCATCGGGCCTGGCCGGGCACTGACCACCGAAGCGGAGGAGGTGCAGGAGAAAGTCTGCAGGCTGAACCAGGAGGTGGGTGGGGCAGCCACGCTTCCCCTCCTGCAGAACGGGGCTGGGGCGCTGGGTTGCAGTCCACCCACCGGCTGGATGCCTTGGGGGAGTCGCGCAAGCTCTCTTGGTTTTCTCACCTAAAAGCCGGGTTTGGGGCGCGCGCGCACTGCGGTACTCATTGGCGCCCCCTCGCGGCCGGCCTAGGCTCGAAGCCTGCGGTGAGACCACCTGTCTGACCCCCTCTGCGAGCTGGGGTGCTCCCCGGGGTCCCGGGCTTGACCGACTCTCACCCAGCCCTGGGAAATGAGAGCTCACGGAGCTCGTGGGGATCGGAGACCGGAGAGGCCCTTGCGTCCGGGGACCCGGCTCTGTGGGCTGAACCCGGCCAGGCGGAGCCCCCGGTTCTGTGGGCCAAGCGCTGCCTCCAACTCCTGCCTCCACCTCCCAGGGGAACTGCGGATCCGTGTTGTCTGTCTCCATAGCAGGCCAGGCCAGGCCCGCCCCGGGAGTCGCCTTCTCTGGGCTCTGATAAACAGCTGGCACCCCAGGGGGGCGGAGCCCAGGGCCGGGCAGCACCAGCTCCTGCGGGCAAGGAGAGGGCAAGTCCTGCTTCTACTCGCTGCTGGAGGAGCCCCAGTTTTAGGCCAGTGGTCCCCAAGCCTGCGTGAATAACAGAGCCCCCCAATCTGCAGACTCCTGCTGGGTGTGGTGGCACCCCCTGTTGTCCCAGCACTCTGGGAGGCTGAGGCAGGAGTATTAAAAATTCAAGCTCAGTTTGTGCCATTTTGTAATTTCATGAGACTGTCTCAGAGTGAGAGTCAGGAAGTGCAGGAAACGGAGCTCAGTCAGTGCCAAGGCCCTGGGTTCAGCCCCAGGACCTGAAAATGAGGCAGATTCCTGGGGCTTGTTCAGTGTGGAACATACCTGGGGCGGCCCCAGCAGCCCGCAGGCACAGATGCTCCTCGGAGAGCCCTGAGCTCAGTGGGGTGTGGACATTTGAGCCTGCATGGTGGGCTGGCCTCGCAGCCCAGCCCTGGAGGAGCGCAGAGCTACGTTCTGTGGAATGCCTTGAAGGGGGTGCCAGTGCCTGTGGCCAGACCCCTTTTTTTCTTTTGTCTTTTTGAGTCAGGGTCTCACTATGCAGTTCAGGCTCCCTTGAGCTCGCTTTGTAGTCCAGGCTGGTCTCCAACTCACAATGATCCTCCTGCCTCAACCTCCTGAGTGCTAGGATTACAGGCCTGCGCCACCATGCCCGGCCCAGACCCTTTTTGGTACCAGGGATTGAATTCTGGGCCTTGCACTTCCAAGGCAAGCACTTATGCTGCTGAGCTACCTCTCCAGCTCTTCAGATCCTTTCTGGAAGGAGATGGCGGTGGTGTCTACCCTGGGTCTCCCTCCTGGGGTGAGGCTGAGGAGATCTGGAACCACAGAGGGGTGCACCCTGTACCAAGACACCTCATGTGTTTTCCACAGATTTCCCGCCTCAACCAAGAAGTGTCTCAGCTGAGTCAGGAGCTTCGGCACATGGTAGGGCTGCTGCATGCCCACCTGGGTCGCCCAGGCCAGCCAGCACCTGCAGCCTGGCCCCCAGACCCTTCCTGTCGCCAGCGAAGGCCACCAAGCAGGTCTCCATGTGTGTCTGGACAGCCCCAAAGCCTCCATGACATGACACGTGCTGAGGTCCTCCGCACAGCTGGTGCTAGGACAGCGGAGATGAGGGCCACAGTGTCCCCACTGGCCCCCTGTCCCTCAGAGCTGGACTCGCTGAGCCCCTCCCCAGGACCAGAGGCTTCTCCGAGCCTTGCCCAGCCTAGCTTCCGGTCCAGGTCGGACACGCTGCACTGACCCCGGCCTGGGCCCAGGCCTGTCTGGGGCAGGCACCATTGCCTGCCATCAGGGAGGAGCTGGGCCTCCTGCTTCAGGGTCAGCAGCCACCAGCTGGTCTGGCTGGCTGTGGATTCTCTGGACTTCTGATCCCGATCCACTTTGCAAACCTTCTCCCCCATTCTCCTCTGTGAGGGGCCGTCCAATTCATGGCGTCCAGCAGCGCAGATGGATGCCGTGCGCTCTTTCCCCCAGGATCCGGAAGCAGGTAGAGACTGATGGGGAGCTGGGTCAGCCTGGAAGGAAAGCCCTTGCGGGACCAGGCAGGACCCTGTGCCCATAGAAAGGGATTTGCACTCTGGACGTAGCGTAGTGACACCCTGGGCCCACCTAGCCCAGCTTCTGGTCCCTCTGCTAGAGGGCCCCCTCCTGGGGACAGTGTCACCTTTAGAGGGGCACCTTTACCATTCTGGTTGGCATCTGAGCCACCAGGATGTCTCAGCCCCTGGCCATCTGTCCAGACTGGAGGGGCCCCCTGCATACACAGGGAATGAACTGACCACCCCTGATTTATCTCTAGTCTTTGGCTCTTAGCATTTTTTCAGAATGTGCATTAGGTTCCAAGATTACAAATAAAAGACAGGTCACATAAACATCCTGTATTCTACCTGGGAACGGTGGTACACACCTGTGATCTCGCACTCTGGGAAGCTGAGGCAGGAGGATTTCGAGTTCAAGCCCAGGAAGATCTTGGCTCAGAATTTGAAAGCGCAAGGCATCTCCCAGCCTGGGCCAACAGTTATTTGGCAGTTAGTGGTGATCACTGGGCATCGGGTGGCTGCTGGGGACCACGGGGCTCAAGCCCCTGGGCGCTGCACTCACTTTTGCTGCATCCCCATCCCTTCATCCATCAGGGTCTCACTAAGTCACTAAGCTCCCCAGGCCGGGTTTGAACTTTGTGATCCTCCTGACTCAACCTCCTACAGTGCTGGGGTCACAGGGGTGTGTTTCCACACCCAGCTGCTCACTGTCCCCGTTAGCCAGGACCCGCAGTCCCCAGGCCTTTGAAGCCCCAGCTTGTTGGTTGTTTCCTGACACCCAGCCAGCTTCTGCGGGTTGAAATCTTTGGTCTCTGCCAGCAGGGTCTGCGTGCAGGGCCTGGGAGTGGGCTCCCGGACCGGAGTGGGCACCCCGGGCTCTGTCAGCAGCATCTTTGTGTCTGTGTCTCCGCAGGCTGTCACTCCTGGTGCTGGCCAGCAACTCAGCTAGCTCCAGCACCGCTCTGGACCTGCCCCACCCCAGCAGGGCTGGGCTCTTGCTGACCTCAGTGCCCCTGGTCCTTCAGCTCAGGGCCCCGCCTGCCTTCCGTCCAGCGCCTCAGCCTCACTTTTGGATAGGAAATAAACTCTTCTATTTTTGTAGCCTTTGGCACCGGCTGTTTCTCGGATTTGGGCTGAGAGCCCCTGGGCTTTGCAGGAGCCCACGCCACAGTCACCCCTGCCACCCCTAGGGCCTTGCTGATGTCTCTAGAAAGGGCAGAGACGCTAGCCAACCCACTCGGCACCACGGCCACCAGGGGCCAGGCGCTGAGGGGGAAACCTTAATGAGTCCCCAGAGGGTCTGTTAACGTTCCTCCTCCTCATCCTGGGCAGGCCCACGTCCAGCTCTGGACAGACGGGCCCAGGGCATCCCCAGCACTCAGTATATGCAGCTGCTAGGGGCTGGGGCTAGGGGGCTGAGAGCCAGCCGGGAGTCCCTCCTGGCCTCCCTAGACCTGGCTTTTCTCTCAGCTTTCACCACTGCCAGGAGGTGATCACTGCCAGGAGGCAGGGCAGGGGGATTTGAGGTGTTGCGCGACACAGGCACCCTGGGCCTGGTGTGTGGCACAGGCCCAGGGTCCCAGAACCTGGGAGACTGAGGCAGGAGGCTCACCAGAGGCCAGCAGTGAGTTCAAATGCAGCTCAGATTACTTGGAGAGACACTATCTCAAGAAAGGAAAAAGAGCCAGGTGTGGTAGCCTGTAATCCCAGCACGCAGGAGGCTGAGGCAGGAGGATTGCCATAAATTCAAGGCAAGCCTGGGCTACACAGTGCGTTAAAGGCCAGCCTGAATGATTCAGTGGGACCCTGTCTCAAAAGGAAATAAATAAATAAAAAGGAAAAAAAGAAAAGACACGTGGGCACAACATTTTGTCGGGTTGCCCGGGACCTGGACAGGTCCATTCTCCAGGTTTGGTTTCACAGAGTATAATTGGTGTTGGCCTGTGTCTGAGGGTCTAGAGTGGATTTTGATTTCATACAGGTATGTGTTTGTTTGAGACAGGGTCTCACTATGTAGTTGTCTTCTTTTTCTTCTTTTTTTTGGTTGGAACTGGGGATTGAACTCAGGCGCTTGCGCTTCTAGGCAAGCACTTATTCTACTGAGCCATCTGCCCCGCCCCTCACTATGTAGTTCAAGCTGGACTGAAATCACTTTGTAGACACAGCAGTCCTTCTGCCTCAGCCTCCCAAATGCTGTGGATTACAGGTGTGGACTGCCACACTGGCCTGTTTGTTTGTCTTTTTCGGACAGGGTCTCGCCATGCAGCTCAGGCTGGCCTTGAGTTCACTTTGTAGCCCAGGCTGGTCTTCCACTTGTAACCATCCTCCTGCCCCGCTCCTGGGTGCTGGGACTCCAGGCATGCACCACCATGCCGGCCACCGGCCTGTTTTTAAGAGTCTCCTTATGTAGTTCAGGCTGGGCTGGAACTCACTATGCAGCCCAGGCTGGCTTCAAACCCACAGCAATCCTCCTGCCTCAGCCTCACTGGGGCTGGGCTCACAGGTGTGCACCACCACGCCCGGCTCTGCATGCAGGTTTTCGGTAGGGTCCACGGAGGCGAGAGCAGGTACCGGCGTTCGCGTTGGGAGGCGTGGTTCTGGTCTCCAGCAGGAGTGGAGGGCGCAAGACGGCGTCGCCGGCAGCGGAGAGTAGGGTGGCTCTCGGCTCCGGACGGGTTAGGGTGGGACGGGTCCCAGGGGTCCGGGTAGGGCTCACCGGTCTTCTGGACGCCTGTCACTGCTTTGCCGGCGTCCTCAGTACCTGCCAACGGCGTGGACTGGGCCGGAGAGCACCGAGCGGGCCCCTCCCGCAGTGCGAACACCCGCCGGGCGTTGCCGACTCCCCCGCCCCCGGGCTCCGCCGGGGCCCCGCCCCTCGGACTACAACTCCCGTCACGCCCTGCGCGCTCAGTCCCGCCTCTCGCGTGTCCCCGCTGGCGCGGCTCGCGGGGCGGCAAAGGGGGTCTTCTATTGGTCTCTGTGTCCTGCCAGTCACCCGGGAGCGTGGAGGGGCGGGGCGAAGGTGGAGATCCGGATCCGGAGCCGCTGAAAGGCGGAAGTGGAGGCCGGAGCCTGGGACACCGCTTGGGGGGAGAGGAGCGGAGTCGGCCCGAGCCCCCGCCCCGCAGAACGCCGCCGCCCCGGAGCCACGGTGAGTGTGCCTGTCCCGGGATCAGAGTCTCGCCTGTGCTGACGCGTCTTCGGAGCCGCCCCTTTCTCCCAGTCCTGGCGTACGGGGTACTGACCCCTCCCCCGACCCGTAGCCCCCACTTTAGGAGCTCCCCGGGTGTCGGGCCAAGCGGGGAGCCCCTCTACCTCGCCGGGCTGTCATGCGTGAGCCTGGGGCTCCTCCGCGGTTCGCCCGGCCTCTCCAGCCCGGTGGTGGAGAGAGAGACTCCAAGTTCCTCCTCCCCAGCTCCCGGAATGTTGAGGGGCTCCTCCAGGTGCGAAGAAGCCTGTCTCCCTTCTCCTTCAGAGGTGTCGGGAAGCGCTGTCTGTGCACGCTTTTCTTCTCCGCGTCCCAGCAGAAACAGTTGTCCCCTCCAGCTCTGGAGAATTTCTTATCGCTTTCCTTCGGGCGGCAGGTGGGGGAGGGGTCCGGGCGGGTCAGATCCATGGCCTGAAGTAAGTTTGCTCCCCGCTTCTCACTTCCTCACCTTCCCAAGCCAGGACCTCCGCTGAGTTTGAAATCGGGGTCACTGAATAGGGACAAGCTGTCTTCTTGTTTTGCCCCGTCCCCAGCACTGTCCTTTAGTTCTGTTGTTTTCTCCGTATCTCTCTTCCTGCCTCTGAAGAATTTAGCTGAGGCTTGCTCAATCTTAGCTGCAGATCACGGATCCGGGCAGATCTGCCCATTCATTATCTTCTCTCCTCGCAGTCCTCCTCCTCCTGCTGCTCCTCCTCCTCCTTGTCCTCCTCCTCCT